GGCTAATATAGTCTTAAGAAATTATATTAATGTTAAAAGTGTGACAACTTAGATAAATAAATTATTTATATCATTTTGATAGCTTTGTGGTATTTATATTTCAATGATTTTAGGAATTTACTTTCAATCTATTTATCAACAGATGGTGTTCAGAAACTCATATTAGAATTATAGAAAAATAAAGTAGGAACAAGACAACTAATAATTAACAATAATAAATAAACTGGTCCAATAATGAAAATGTTTACAAATTATTTACAAATATTGGCTATTATTATAAATTTTAATGTTGAAATTCCATAAGCATTTAAGGATTATTATAATATTACTGGGAATTCTCAAACTATGTTACTAATAACGACAGATTGCTTTTTAGCTTAGTATTTTTAAGAGGGAATCATTTATGTGAAAATCATTTATAGTATCATTTGTCCACTGTTTTATGGATGGATCTACTTATCTGTATACTTCTTATTGAAAGGTTTAAAGAAGATCGTTTATAATGAAGTAGTGCCAACAACTTGTGTCTTATATTTGTTTTGCTATTTCTAAATATAGGTGATCTAATTATTGATATCTTCATTATCATTTAGGACATTATCAGGCATAAAATGGATCCAAGGTGATTTGGCTTATTAATTTGAAACATCGCTTCATCAATAATGGATTCCTTATCTTATCGTACTAGCAATCATTATTGGAATTGGAGTACCCACAATATTTATATTATACTTAACAAAAAATAGAAATTCGCTTTAAAAATATGATATTAGAAGATAATGGGGATATTTATTTTTAGAATACTAGCATAAAGCCTATTACTGGGAAATAATTAGGATTATCAGTAGAGAGTTGATAATGATCGCCATTACATTTTACCAAGATAATATAGTTATTAAATGCTCACTTTTATTTATTATATAATTTGGCTATTTTTTGACAAATTAAATGGTTTTACCTTTTAAAACAAAAAATCTAAATTAATTAGAATAAAAGAGTACGTTGTTATGCACTTTTACATTGTTTGCAGTTCTTTCATTATCATTAAAAAGTAGATTTTCAACTCTTGCCATATTATTTATAATTATAACAAATATCTATTTGTCAATTACTTTTATTTAAAGTTTAATACATGGATATTTATAGTCTATGGAAGAATTAATAGACAAGATCAAAGATATTATTAGAGGGAAACTGAAATCAAAATTGAAAAATAATCGATTATTGGACAGTTGGCTTGTAAATAAAGCTTTAAGGAGAAAGATAGTTATTGAGAGATTTAAAAAAATAAAGAAACATCTTTCTGTAGTGAGATCAAAACTTAGTAGTATTGAGAGAGAGAAATGTAATTATTAGATTTGTACCTATTTTAGTTTCGCAAAATGGCCCCTCTAGTGATTTGTCAGTCCCAAGAAATTTAATTTTAAAATTGGTGAGGCCAGAACAGAATTTATTCACAAGCAACGAAAGCAACACTATCAATGATCCTCTCACTAATTTGATTAACAAATGAAATCAGAAGAATGAAATTAATTTTATAAAATAGCATAAGTTAAATATTATTCATTTTTGCATAAGTCAAATGCAATTTATAAACTATAATTTCAATTTAATTTTAGCAATCAAAATATTTTGAAAAGATGTTTAATTGTGTTTCAGAAAGTTAAAAAATAGTTATTAAATTTACATTAATTTTCTTAGAGCAAAGTGTTATAAATTATATATTTTCTTTTGTTTATTTAAGGGTATTAAAGGTTTCTATGCTTATTATTAACAATAATCATGAATTTTAATGATTTTCAAACTGAAAGAATAATTACATGTAGAGGTGAACTAACAAAACCAGACACACATAATTTTGCAGACAACGACTCTCCAGAGAATTCATTGGTAGAAGGCTTCGATTTGGTTTGGAAGAAACATTCTCTTCAAATATTTTGTGCTGCCATTAAATTTATTGTCAAATTGAGAAAAGCTGTAGATCAATATCATCTTCGATAAATCACTCATAGAATATATTAAATAATTGGAGACAAAGCATCTGATTATTTATTTTACCAAGCAAAAGGACTAGTAAATTAAAAATGGACTTTTAACTAATATATCAAGAGCCTCTTAATTTATAATTTTTTAGTGGATATGAACATTAGAGTAATCAAACCAGATAGCAAGGTTAAACTCTTAGTCGATTGTACAATACTAATTTTAATAGTGATGAATATATTTTATATTCCTATGTAATTATCATTCTCCTTGTAAGAGAATGCTTAAACAGTTGACTTTTTATTTAGCACAATACCAAGTTGGGTATTTTTAATGGAAATTGTTGTGAATTTCAATACAGCTTATTATTATAAAGGAATGATTCATGAAGATCGTTCCAAAATATTTTAACATTACATAAAGGGGGACTTTTTCAAGGATGTTTTGGTTGTAATCCCATTTCTGATATCTCAATATAACATTCCATATTTGAATTTTGTTCTGCTGTTGAGAATGACAAGAGTTAACAAAATATTTGAGTAAATTGAGGAAATCACATTGATTAGAGAGAAATTTGCAGCTCCAATTGATGTTATGAAATTAATGTTATTCCTAGTTTTTGTTGCTCATATGAGTGGTTGTGCTTGGCATTACATAGGAATTCAAGAGTTATTTTATAATAATACTGGATGGTTGATCAAATATGGTTATGGTGAAAAAGATTGGATTACAAGATATGTGGCATCCCTATACTTCGGAACCATTACATCATTTACAGTTGGTTTTGGAGACATAGTTCCATAAACATTAATTGAATAGATTTATTTAATTATTATGGTTTTAATTACATCACTAGTGTTTGGGTATACGATTTCATCAATTTAAAACATTTTTGGATAATTGAGAGAGAAGACTGATTAACATAGAAATAAGATGGCTAAAATTAATTCTTACATGAAGAAAAATAAGATAAGCCCGATGCTTTAAATGAAAATCAGGAAATATTTTGAATATTTTTTCACTTTAGATGAAAGTCCAGAATTGTTGATGGATAATCTTAACGATGATTTGAAATTAGAATTAAGAACAAGCATTTTTATTCCAATTATGATAAAATGCAAATTATTTTAAAAGTTTGATGAGAGTTTGCTAAATCAACTGTGTACAGTTGTTTAGACCTAGAAATTCATTCCAGGATAAATAATATTTCAAGAAAATGATTAAATGAATAAAGCATACTTCATCATTTAAGGAGAAGTAGATATATAAATTAATAAAGTCTCAATTAAATAATAATCAGAAGGATCTTTGGGTATTAGGGAGTTCTTTCTTTAAAAACGTATTCATTATGCCACTAGAGCAACTTAATTTACAGAGATTGCTTATATTCGCTATGATGTATTAAATTTTTCATTCTTCTTAGGATTTCTATCGCATCATACGAGAAAAGTAATCCAATCAAGAATAGTATTGCTAAATGAAAGATGATTTACTCTATTCAACGGTCTAAACCTCATGTGAAATCTGTTCTCATTCTCATAACTTTAATAGATGTCCAGTAGTTTTTTATAGTCCATCAACGTATAAAATTGCATGCGACTAAAGCGATTCTATTCTCTAACCTCGTTATTAAAATAAAAGAAAATAGAAGAAAAAAAGGAAAACTTTTGAAAATTTGCAGCACAATATAACTTCTGCTATTGATTATATGTGTGATAATGAAACGTTGAATGAAGGAATGAATGAATCCATTTTGAAAAGATATGGATATGTCGATTTTTAAACTAAATAGTAAACTCTAGAAGATGATAAATTAAAATCCCTCAGAGTCATTCAAAAATTATAATTAAATAGTATTAATAATGGAGATACTCCAAGAATGAAACGGTTTGTTTATAAAAGTTTAATTAAAAAGGATGATAAATCTCATCAGAAATATTAAGAATTGTAATTAGAAATTCTTCATCAAGAATTTATTCAATTCAAAAAGGAGGATTTAAATCAGTTTGACCAACATGTCGAATTTTCTCATTTTCATAAGGATAAAAATATTAGTAAGGTTCTCAATAACTTCTAAAAATAACAGCATAGCAAGCCTCGAGAACAATATTATAGTAAAACTAGATTAGGAAAGACTAAAATGACTCATGCAATCAATATAATTCAAAATACTCACCCTAATTTAATGAATAATTCAAACTTTAAAACCATTTTTAATAATAAATGAATATTTAACATATTTAATTAGGGATTCCATTCAATAATATACCTATAAGATTTCTACTTTCTTAATAATTATATTTTCTTTTTACCTAATTGCATTCAATTATCTAAATATTTTCTAATTGGCATATTTCAAGTATTTTTGTTTTATATATATAATAAATTTAATTGCACAAATGAAATAGAATTTTTCTTATCATCAACTTATAAAAAATTATAACTTTTTGATTTTAATAATTGATATATTCTCTATTTAAATTAATGGTGAATGCTAGCATATATATTAAAAAAATTGACATAAGGTCTACTAATTAATTTAAATTAGTTTATTTTGCTTGCAACAATATCAAATCATTTGCTGATAGTCTACTTAACCTCTNTTCATCATTTAAGGAGAAGTAGATATATAAATTAATAAAGTCTCAATTAAATAATAATCAGAAGGATCTTTGGGTATTAGGGAGTTCTTTCTTTAAAAACGTATTCATTATGCCACTAGAGCAACTTAATTTACAGAGATTGCTTATATTCGCTATGATGTATTAAATTTTTCATTCTTCTTAGGATTTCTATCGCATCATACGAGAAAAGTAATCCAATCAAGAATAGTATTGCTAAATGAAAGATGATTTACTCTATTCAACGGTCTAAACCTCATGTGAAATCTGTTCTCATTCTCATAACTTTAATAGATGTCCAGTAGTTTTTTATAGTCCATCAACGTATAAAATTGCATGCGACTAAAGCGATTCTATTCTCTAACCTCGTTATTAAAATAAAAGAAAATAGAAGAAAAAAAGGAAAACTTTTGAAAATTTGCAGCACAATATAACTTCTGCTATTGATTATATGTGTGATAATGAAACGTTGAATGAAGGAATGAATGAATCCATTTTGAAAAGATATGGATATGTCGATTTTTAAACTAAATAGTAAACTCTAGAAGATGATAAATTAAAATCCCTCAGAGTCATTCAAAAATTATAATTAAATAGTATTAATAATGGAGATACTCCAAGAATGAAACGGTTTGTTTATAAAAGTTTAATTAAAAAGGATGATAAATCTCATCAGAAATATTAAGAATTGTAATTAGAAATTCTTCATCAAGAATTTATTCAATTCAAAAAGGAGGATTTAAATCAGTTTGACCAACATGTCGAATTTTCTCATTTTCATAAGGATAAAAATATTAGTAAGGTTCTCAATAACTTCTAAAAATAACAGCATAGCAAGCCTCGAGAACAATATTATAGTAAAACTAGATTAGGAAAGACTAAAATGACTCATGCAATCAATATAATTCAAAATACTCACCCTAATTTAATGAATAATTCAAACTTTAAAACCATTTTTAATAATAAATGAATATTTAACATATTTAATTAGGGATTCCATTCAATAATATACCTATAAGATTTCTACTTTCTTAATAATTATATTTTCTTTTTACCTAATTGCATTCAATTATCTAAATATTTTCTAATTGGCATATTTCAAGTATTTTTGTTTTATATATATAATAAATTTAATTGCACAAATGAAATAGAATTTTTCTTATCATCAACTTATAAAAAATTATAACTTTTTGATTTTAATAATTGATATATTCTCTATTTAAATTAATGGTGAATGCTAGCATATATATTAAAAAAATTGACATAAGGTCTACTAATTAATTTAAATTAGTTTATTTTGCTTGCAACAATATCAAATCATTTGCTGATAGTCTACTTAACCTCTTGTATTCAGAATTCGAATGCAGAAGTAGCAGCAACTATTTATAAATAATATATTTAAATTCAAAAATGAACAACGAAAACATGTATTCTAGCGATCTCTTTTAATCTACAGTGATATCTAAATCATATTATTAAGTCCTACAAGATTCAAATTTAATTGAATCAAAAGTGCTTCACATCAATGTATAAGCCAAAAAAGATGGAATTATTATTTCATCAATTAGACGATGAACATGACTCAGAAGATGAAGGGATAGATGATTATAAAATTGGAGGGTATCATCCTGTACATATTGGAGAATTGCTTTAACATAGATATGTGATAATTTAAAAGCTAGGATGGGGTCATTTTTCAACTGTGTGGTTATGCAAGGATTTTTAATTTGATACATATGTTGCAATTAAAGTATAGAAATCTGCCGAGAATTATTTGGAGGCAGCTTATGATGAAGTGGAAATATCATAAAAAGTGGCTTAGAATGTTACAAACTAGAAATGGCTTGAAACATTAAAATAATACAAACCCAATCAGAGATTGAATCGAGATGATAATCATGTTGTGCAATTGTTAAATTCTATTGTTTATAGAGGACCATATGGATGTCATTTTTGTATGGTGTTTGAAATCTTGGGAGTTAATCTGTTGGAAATAATTAAGAGATTCGAGTATTAAGGAGTTCCAATGAAATTATGTAGAAAAATAGCAAAAGAAATATTGATTGGTTTAGAATTCTTACATGAATAATGTGGAGTAATTCACACAGATTTAAAGCCTGAAAATGTGTTACTTCAATTGTCTTAGGAAGAGATCAAAGACATCATTGAAAATGGTTAATTAACAAGCAACTAGATTTTCAAGGAACGTTTGGAATTTTATCATTAGCTTTTTGATATCAAAAAGGATGAGCCAGTCAAACTAGGAGACAATTTGTTTCTAAATAAAATTGACTCAATAAAACCTGTTGAAACAGTTAATTCTGGTTCACAAAAAGAATAATAATCATAAACTAAAAATCAATTAAGAAATTTATAGAGAAGGTAAAAGAAAAAATAACAGAAATTATAAAAACAATAAGAAATCGGAGAGTTAGATGAAAGTTTGAAAATTTAAGATAAAGAAAATGATGAACTTATAAAATAGCATTAAATTAAAAAGCGAATCTTAAGGATAAAAATAATAACAATCTATTTTAAATTGATAAGAAATCTCTACTTAAATAAATTCAAAAGAATGATTTTTCAGTAAAAGTAGCAGATTTAGGAAATGCCTGTTGGAAACATCATTAGTTTTCTACGTTAATTTAGACTAGATAATATAGATCTCCTGAAGTTTTAATTGGAACAAGATATAATGCCACTACCGATATGTGGAGTTTTGCTTGCATGTTATTTGAATTATTAACTGGCGACTTCTTGTTTGATCCTAGAAAAGGTGCAAATTTTTCTAAAAATGATGATCATATAGCTTAAATTCAAGAATTAACAGGAAAATTTCCTTTATAATTTTCTTAAAGAGGATTAAAATCTAAGAGATATTTCAATAAAGAAGGTAATCTTTTAAGAATTCCAATCCTAAATTGTTGGTCATTAACAGATGTTCTAATAGAAAAGCATAAGTATATTCCAAAAGAAGCAAAAGAATTAGGTAATTAGAATAGTTTAATATTTTAGCTTCTTTTTTAGAACCTAAGTTAAATCCTTATCCAGAGAAAAGAGCAACGGCATCCTAATCTTTAAAGCATTCCTGGTTGAAGAGTGAGAGCGAAGGGGTGAAAATGAATGAAGAGCAATACAAAGAATACAAAGAAAAAAGAGGATTAGTTGAATTTAAAAAGGTAAATAAAAAGTAATCATTTAGGAAGTCGAAAGTGAAGATGAATGTGCCGATAGAAGTGAATCACCAAGAGTAATACTATAGTTTATTAAATTAAAATAACAATCTATATTTTTTTTGAATCCCTAAATTAATCTATATTTATTGTACCTTTTAGCACCAAACGTCAATGTTATGTTAAACCAAGGATAGTAGATAGAAAAGAAATCGACAGATCTTTTACTGATCTTGGATATATAGGATTTGGAAATGGGATAGATATAGATTTATTAGATTCTACAGGGAATTGGCAATTTATTAATTGATTTATATCATTCTTATATTGTTTTTGGCACCTTAAAGGAAGCACTCTTTTTTAATAAGCCAATTTTAGGTGTTTAAGAGTTTAATTATTATAAGGTACTTTCTAAATGGGCTGATTCTTCATTGGCATAATCATCATCTTTGCTCAATTGTTTTTTCTAGTAAGAGTTTTTCAATGCAAATTTATGAAGATCTTGCGAATCTTTTCTTTTAATCAAAGGAGAAGCTTGAGGACTCTAATCTTGTTGAACATTCTTCATGTTTTAACAGAATTGACTAAATTTAGATTGATATTATTGTTGTTGGAATTGCGATTTTTCCAAACGAGTTGATGACCCTAATGCTGAACCATTTGAAAATGATCCGACTGTATCAATGCGGCCATTTAAGACAGGAGATCTAATCATTAATTCCATGGATCCCACTTAACTATCAAAACTACCTTTTTTTAATAATCGATATTAATTTTATTCAATTAGATTTTCCTGAATTTCTAATAAGTCTTTTTTATTAAAGATTTCTTTGAAATAAGGATGTTACAAACAGGATTCAGCATTAGGCCGGTCTTTCGGATTTTATTAGAGCATCATTCTTAACAATTCCTATAGTTTTTGGGAAGACTAATTTATGATATTAAGGTACCTACTATATTTGCTTAATATTGAAATTAATTTCACAGTTTTTATTTGATCTTAAGATTGCTTTATAATCAGACACTTAAAAAGGTTGCTTGCCAGTAAGTAGGATATAGAATATCACACCAGCACTAAATATATCACATTTATCGTCATAAAAAGGATCATCTTCCTTATATATTAAAATCTCTGGTGCAACAAATCCAGGAGTTCCACATCTTTTAAATATGATCTATTCATTCAGAAAAGTTGCTAATCCAAAATCAGCAATAACAATATCGGTTGAGAATTCTTTATTTTTTAATAATAAGTTTTCCGGTTTTAAGTCTCGATGAATACACTTTTTACTGTGAATGTGTACGAGCGCTTTTATAAAATTGTACATCAACTTTTATAAACATTCTGTTGAGTAAGGAATATTCTTAGCTCTTTCTAATAATTCACCTCCTTCTAATAGATCCAGAACAAAATAGATTGAATTTTGAGTTTCATAAGCCTCGTGTAAATGTACTAGATTTTCTTGATTAAGCCTTCTCATAACCCGGATCTCATTCTCTAAGCTTTCTTTTCCTCTAGATTATTCAAGCATGAACTCCTTATTAAATGCCTTTATCGCAAATTAAACCCCTGTAGATTTCTTGGCTGCTAGATAAACTTTAGCAAAGCTCCCTTTGCCTATCATTTTTGAAACACTAAATTCATCGTGGAATGTTGTTTGAAGACACTTGTACTACAGCAATTGCTTGAGAACGTTTGGATCTGATGTAAGTATATCGATATATTATCCATTTTTTTATAATCTGATAGCCATTCCGTAATCAGTTTTAAAAAAACTCATAATAACTACTGATAATTAGAGCAGTCCATGAGGATTTTTATTTTTGAAAAGATACATTTATTCTTAGCCTAATTGGATCGAAATTGGTTTAAGCTTTCTCTTTTTTCTGCTTATTTTATGACAGACGGATTCAAAGATAATTGAATCATTCTAGATTGTTTACATATTTACATTACTTCATATATCTGCTGCTGAAACTTTGACCATATATGTTTGATTTTATAGAGAACCTCGAGATTATCAAAGAAGGATGTAAATTCAGTCAGCATATATTACTTGAAAATTTATTTATATTATTGTTATCAAATAGTTATCATACTATTTTAAACAATTTTATTGATCTTAATCAATGTATATCTACCTTATGAATCTTCTGATTAGCTTAGAGCATAATAGATCCAAAACATTTAATATAATTATATTGTTAAGTCAAATTGAGAAACTTGACCTGTTTGGATGCCATTTGAAAATGTAAGGCACGATTGTTAAATTGTTGGAGTCAATTATTTAATTGTTTTTCAAATTGTCATTTCTTTGTTAAAACAAGATTTTCATCTTTCTCTAAATTATTATTTAACGGCTAATATGAGTTTTTTTTTATTTTCTCAATTATCCTAAATTCTACAATGAAGGAAAAGTTAGAATATTCTGAAACTGAAGTATTATCCTATCGTATCCCCTTTTTTCAATGAATTTATATCATATTTTTATTCAGTTTGCCAACCATGGACTATATCAATATTTTGGATGTGTTTACTTATATTGGAAATCTTCTTATTTTGAAAACAAGTGCAATTATATGCCTATTTCTTCTTTTCTGGCCAGTTATAAGAATTGAATAGCTACTTACTGATTGGAATTTTATGAGATCTGATCAATTTCAAAGCCCGGCCACTCTGAAATATACTTTTTGCTCCATTCATTATTATTAATAAATAATTATATTATTTAAAAAATATGTCGAGCGAGGATCCAACCAACAAGGAATTAAATAATTTCGTTTAAACATTGTTGAAATAAATGTCAGAACGCTTTGAAGAAATGTAAGGAACCATAGTTTCAAGAATTGATGATATGGGTATTTATTATATATAGATCAATTACTTAAGGAAAGAGAATTGATGACATAGAAAAGAGTGTTACAGAATTAATGAATGATTTAGGATTTTCAGATGAAGAAAATGAAAAATAAAGGTGAAATAAATATTCATTAAATATATTTTTATTTTTATTGAAGTTATTCCCTCTATTTCATCATGATCTATATTTTTCGTTGTTCCTATTAAATCTATGATTAGATCATAGACTTGTATAATAAAGTATGTTATTTAGTTTTCCTTGATTAGACCTGTTATGATTAAACAACTACTCTTAAAGGTTGAGCATAGATTTTAGCAGCATCATGTTTTATGGATTTTTGTGGACTTCCAGTAATTTTTCTACTTGGAGGCAATTATATCTTTTTTGTACCTTACTTAAATGTTTCACAATTACCAGTTGATTCTTCAAAGATGTCACTAGCATAATTCAGAAATTAGGTATAATAATCTGTCTCATACTCCTCATCGCATGGATAAATCTTCTCGAATCCCCCTAGATGTTCATCCTCATACGCATCTCGAATCAATTGATATTATTCCACAATCGCCTTTCTATCCTCTTATGTCATTCTGATATTTCTCCCTGTTAAAATACGTTTTTGCATTTCTTGGTGCTTCTCCTATCTTAATAAGAATTTAAACATACATCAGTCTGTACTTCTCTTCTCTGTTTACATTCATCAACACTAGTGTGTCTTCAATTAAATTAGCCTTGATGTATTGATCTAAAGGAGAGTCAGTCGTAAATGAAGGACTATGATTGATTTCTAATAAAATAGGCCTAAAATAGTTGATATTAATTACGTGAACGAATTGTCCAAAATAATATCGAATCCCAAAATTTCAAAGCACATGTTATTCATAAGATTATTCGGCTGACTAGTAGTATATTGATGTTTAAGAAAAGGTTGAGCAGAACAAAGAGTTTTTATTATGATTTATTTGATATCCATCCACAATTGATCAATGTCTCTGCCTTCCTATTTTAATTTTTCAAAAACACTTGACATACTTCTCTTGTGGCCAACATCCATTCTCTAGACATCCTCATTAAATACAAAGTTTTCGTTATTTTTGTTAATAGCATAATTAGTCAAGTGCATACAGAGATCATCAAAATTAGATGGATGTGGAGGCATGTACTTTTCAGTTGCAAATCTTGCCAATCCTTCAGTGTATATAAATATTCTCAAGGGATCGCATCCAGCAACAAGTACATATATTCTAAAATCAAATTTCAAACCGTCAATTAAAAAGGGATCACCCAAATACTTTTACACAACGTATCTCTCTGCTGGACTAATAAAGTCAAGAGATTTGGTTAAGAAAATACCTAAACTTTACCAATTAATTCTTACCTCTCCCTTAACATGATGCTTCAGGCTTAACTATTAAAATCTCATCTCTTCCCTTCCCCTTCATATATTCCCTTAAGTCTTAAGAATCAGATGGGAGCATCCACGTATAAGGAAAGAATTTGAATTCCTTAGGAAATCGTCGGCGCATCTTGGTTAATTATTTTCCGAGATTATTTTTTCTGGCCAATATGTACATCCCTGGGAAATGATTAACCTTCTAGTGCTCTAAACCATTATTAATTTAAATAATACATTTCATTTTGCTCAACATTTCTGCATGGACTCCAGAATCAGTCCAATAAACATCCCAATCCCATGATTCTGGTTCTGCAATCAATTTCCATTTGAGTATTTCTTATCCCACATAACGAACCACTTAATATTGAGTATCATAGACATTCATTATTATTTAAGGGAGGACAACCTTTCTTTATTATTCATTTTCGCTATCTGACATTTAATTTTTGGTAAAATATATTTATATCAAAGTTAAATAATTGTTATACATCTCCTTATTATTATTATTAATCCCTTATTGTCTATGTCTATCTATAATTATTTTTATGATATATTTTACTAAATATAATGTAGAATCTATCTCTTGAGTTGAATAAAGGTGACTTATTATTTGAAATTACAAATAGTTATGGGAAGCTAGCAAACTGCTCTCTTTGAATTTTGATTTTTATTGTTTTGATTTCATTCTTTTTTCTCTTTACTCAATTTAAGTATCTGGAATTATTTAAATTGTATTGAAAATTTAATAAATTAAACAGTCCACTGGTCAAATGACTGAAAATAACATACTTAGTTTATTTTTAGTTGCTTGATCATGATTGTCAATTCTTATCAATCATAAGATGATTTTAGGTATAAAACAATAATTTTTTGAGTCGTAATTAATAATTATCATGATGTCATCTACAATAAGATATACCGAATTAGCCATTATAATAATTTATAATAAAAGTGTTTTTGATGATAAATAAATCAATACAACCTAATAGAAACATGGTTATACTAAAAAATAAAAAATAAAGGAAGTTAATGAAGGTATTACTAGTAAAATTTCTTTAAAAAGTCCAATTAAAAGACAAGCATTTACTCAAAAAATTAGCAACTATTTTAATGGAAAAAATTCAAAGAGTTGTTTAGAAACAATTACTAAATGTTTAACTATCAATAAATAAAATAGTCTAAACTTAATGATATTAAATAGAAAACTTTTGATCTCAAGCAGAATAAGTAAACTAAAATAATAGTCAGTAAGGAATCTATTCCTCTATAATAAGGAAAGGAAAAAAAAATTGAATTTGGAAATCGAGTCACCATAAATTTACTTACGAGGATGTCAACGATCTAGATTGAGGAGGAAGCGAAGTAATAATCTCCAAAATTTAATTCGAACAAAGATCCTGAGACTTTCACAGATTGGGTTGAAAATATCTACGGAAAATAATGGTTTGCTCAAACTACTAACCAATGAAAATTAGTTTTATTTTAATAATTTGTTTTTGATATAGCTATATCAGTAACTTAAAGATATCAATTTAGATCATTTTTGGATATTCCTTATTTAAAAACTATTTTAATATTATAATTCTCAGCCATCTTTGATATTTTAGATAATTTTTAATTAAAAATTAAACATAAACGAAATTTATCATATAGGTACAAGATAATAGCAATCAAGTGCACACACTCTTTTTATAATAATTACAAATCTCTTCTGCCTAAGCTATTAGACTAGAACTTATGCCTTCTTCTTACATAGCATTTTTAAGGAATTAAACAAACAAATTAAATGTACTTTCTCTAATTTTAACTGATTAGTGAATGACCTTTAAATCATTTGAGTTGTAGATATGTTAATCTGTTAATATAAAAGCAATTATCCTATGGAGATGCAAATTCATTTAGTAATTGGCATTCTTAAAATATTCTGTGTAATTTTCATTATCCTATAATTTTATTTAAACTTTAGCTATTACAAGATTAACTTTCTTCTTACCAATCTTACTTTCAATGGAATGATATTAAGTAAGATTGTTTCTTAGTTTATACCAGATATCCTCATAATCTTAAATAATTAGAGCATTAAGATTCAGACTTTTAATAAGAAGGAAAAAATTATCACGAAAGGAATCAATCCATTCAGTGGCAATATTATATTTGCAATGGATAGTCCATAGGTCATTTTTAGTTAGGGTTGGTATATGCTAATGAGTTAGGTATCTCAAAATAAATTGAGAATGTCTTTCCATCGCAGTTGCTGGGTAGTCTTGCATTCGAGGATCCCTCTTCAACAATTAAACATATTTCTTTTACTAAACTTACAACAAAGAAGATTGCTCCCCATAATAGTCTAGCAAAGAGTCTTAATTAATGATGTAACTTCGATAACCATCCATTCTAGTTGTCACCAACTCTATCTGTTTTTCTTGTATCTTAAGTTAGCGCATAGACTCAACAAGATGTTATTTAAACAGAGTGAAATGGACATTTGTTAAATGCATACCCTTATGCGATTATCTCATCTCGACTAAAATCTAGTCATTTGTTTATTCCCAAGCCATTAATTGGGATAGGATCTTGCCTAATTTCCTTGCTTACTATTTGATTTCAATTCCTATAAAATATGGTGCGAGGGAGTTATCTTAGAAAATCTTTTGGTATGTACTCTAAGCTAATTACAATATGGGATCAGGAACATCCTTAGTATTTAATTTTTCAGTTCTCTGGTTGTAAATGATAGCAAATGGAGTGTTGCTATTGATGATACAATAACGATATTGCTCTATCATGGAACTGAATTCAAACACAAAATCTAATTGTGCTTTATTGACTTTCAAGAAGCATGTCTAAATTAAATAATCATTGGTACAATTAAATAGTTTTTGAATTAATTGAAATCTCTATTTTTAAGTCTTAAATCTTTATGTTTCTCTTTTAATTGTTCTAGATTATAAAATATAGGTTTTCCCATAATATATTCCAAGAAGGTCTTAAACCTTTACTTATATCTTTCCTAATCATCAATCTCTATAAATGTTTTGAATACTTACTTGAGATCATCTCGTGTTGAGTTGAATACCGGTGAAACTCCTCATTAAGTTGATCGATAGTCTCAGCTCCTCCGATTTTATAATAGAACAAACTCATGTCATCATCCCTTACACTTCTTCCACTTATATTGTTAACCGAAGTTCGATGGATAGGCAATAATCTCTATTAAGGAACGATTGACTTTCTAGTCTCGAAGGAATTGTGTCTAGGAGATTGAATGTTATGGAATTAATTTTAATTCGATAATATTGCAGCTGCATTTACCAAACTAGGCCTGTAAATAGGTGATTGGAAATTAGTGACTGGACATTTCCCGATATTTACAACGAACCTTTTATTTAATATATCTGGGGAAGGCAATTCTAATTTTGGAAGAGTTGGATGTCGCTTAGGCACTGATTCTTTTCTTGGAGACTTATTATGAGTATGCAATTGTTGTTATGATTCTGACAAAGAGTTCACATACTCAGCAAAGGATTGTCTCTCCTTTGGATTCTCACTAGCTTTGCTTTTTCCTCTTTATATTAAGTATCCTTTTTTTGGATTTTGACAATTTAGTTAAATTGGTTAATTCATATTATTAAAATTATATATATAAAAAATTTTGTGCAATTTTAAAAAGACATTTTAGTGTCAAAACTAGCAATTCTTAGAGTCATCCTAAAATATAATAATTCTCTTTCTATAACAATATTTTGATATTTGTTGTCATAATAGATAATCCCTTAATTCTTATTATATAATCTAGGTCCTAAAAAGAAATCAATTTTATATTTATTATTTTGGATAAAATTAGAATTGAGTATTTGAAATCATTATTTCTATACTGATTTATTTTGATTCAATTTTACAAATAAGAAAAATCTTCTAGTAACTCTTCAATAAATTCTCATCAAATAAAGATCAAAATCTTTATGATAAAACGTTTTATTGTGATTCATGCCATACAACAATTATTATTAAAAATTATCCAATTATAAAATTGATAATCAATTCTCCTTTTTTTAAGACTAATACTCATTTTATCCTTTACCAGAATCTCATGTAATATCTATTTGGATTATAATATATATGTATTATATTATCACATTTATTATTATTATACTAAAATTTCATGATTGAAAGTAAGAAATCTACATTCAAGTAGAGAAATTGATATCTATCCTTTTCTATTGGTTACTCTTTTAAAAAATTCTGGTGCAATAACACCATCAATTCCACTTGATAGTACTACTCCGTTATTGGAAACATAGAATTAAATGCCTGCCTTCATTGCTTTTTCCATATCCACCTCTATAATGACTTCACAAGTATTTCTCATTCCACTGATTACTGCTTCATTTCCAGGTAATCCAACTGCAAAATGTATATGTTACCTTGCCGTTTTATTTAATCCAGTATCTTTAATCAAATCCCATGCTTAAAAGTATGTGCCATGTACAATAACAGGAAATTATTGTGGGTCAACTATCTTCTCTAATAATTCTTCCTCATTAATTTCAATGGTATGTCCTTAGACACATCTAATATACAATTGTCCATCAATTTCTTTTAGTTCAAATCGTTTTTTGTCATTGTTATCCACAATATTTCTGATAATTTATAAATTGGCTTTCAATTTTACAATTGCAGGCTATTTGAGTAGATCTTGAACCAGCACAAAACCATCCTATCTAATTGGAATACCTTCCTTCAAGGCACCATGTCTCAAAAAATAACTCATTGTTTTTGATAACTGAACCAAGGGTGAGTCTTTTTCCTTTTGTTTGGTTCCCAATACACATAATTTAATTGTACATTAAATTCTTTCTTATAAATATGAAAATATTATTAATTTAAGAATGAGAATTTAGGCTTCATCATTCAGATTACCTGCTCTTAAATTGCAACCTAAAGATTCTCAATTCAATCTCAGTTATGGTGATTACAATCAATCCAGTTCCTCGATGATCAAATATTAGAGTAGTCCTCAAAATTNTAAAAAATTTTGTGCAATTTTAAAAAGACATTTTAGTGTCAAAACTAGCAATTCTTAGAGTCATCCTAAAATATAATAATTCTCTTTCTATAACAATATTTTGATATTTGTTGTCATAATAGATAATCCCTTAATTCTTATTATATAATCTAGGTCCTAAAAAGAAATCAATTTTATATTTATTATTTTGGATAAAATTAGAATTGAGTATTTGAAATCATTATTTCTATACTGATTTATTTTGATTCAATTTTACAAATAAGAAAAATCTTCTAGTAACTCTTCAATAAATTCTCATCAAATAAAGATCAAAATCTTTATGATAAAACGTTTTATTGTGATTCATGCCATACAACAATTATTATTAAAAATTATCCAATTATAAAATTGATAATCAATTCTCCTTTTTTTAAGACTAATACTCATTTTATCCTTTACCAGAATCTCATGTAATATCTATTTGGATTATAATATATATGTATTATATTATCACATTTATTATTATTATACTAAAATTTCATGATTGAAAGTAAGAAATCTACATTCAAGTAGAGAAATTGATATCTATCCTTTTCTATTGGTTACTCTTTTAAAAAATTCTGGTGCAATAACACCATCAATTCCACTTGATAGTACTACTCCGTTATTGGAAACATAGAATTAAATGCCTGCCTTCATTGCTTTTTCCATATCCACCTCTATAATGACTTCACAAGTATTTCTCATTCCACTGATTACTGCTTCATTTCCAGGTAATCCAACTGCAAAATGTATATGTTACCTTGCCGTTTTATTTAATCCAGTATCTTTAATCAAATCCCATGCTTAAAAGTATGTGCCATGTACAATAACAGGAAATTATTGTGGGTCAACTATCTTCTCTAATAATTCTTCCTCATTAATTTCAATGGTATGTCCTTAGACACATCTAATATACAATTGTCCATCAATTTCTTTTAGTTCAAATCGTTTTTTGTCATTGTTATCCACAATATTTCTGATAATTTATAAATTGGCTTTCAATTTTACAATTGCAGGCTATTTGAGTAGATCTTGAACCAGCACAAAACCATCCTATCTAATTGGAATACCTTCCTTCAAGGCACCATGTCTCAAAAAATAACTCATTGTTTTTGATAACTGAACCAAGGGTGAGTCTTTTTCCTTTTGTTTGGTTCCCAATACACATAATTTAATTGTACATTAAATTCTTTCTTATAAATATGAAAATATTATTAATTTAAGAATGAGAATTTAGGCTTCATCATTCAGATTACCTGCTCTTAAATTGCAACCTAAAGATTCTCAATTCAATCTCAGTTATGGTGATTACAATCAATCCAGTTCCTCGATGATCAAATATTAGAGTAGTCCTCAAAATTATTATGACCCATCTCCAATATAAAAAAGAGTACGAGGAATGACAATTGCCATTTATAATAGCTAAGAGAAACTAAAAACAGCAGAATTCCGTTATGAAAGTGATTTGATTACTTAAACTCAACCTGTCAACTAGAGTTCTTCAGTTATTAATACTTTGCGTAGATATAGAAGCAAACTAAAATAATTAATGTACTAACCTCCAAAAGAAGATGGAGGTCTATCTCGAGACCCAAGAATTTTTTCTTTTAAGGAACCTACTGCCAGTATAAGATTAGATCGTCCAACTAATGATAGAGGTGATCAATAATTGAAAGATAAAATCACTTAATTAATGGGTAAAGTTAAATAACTGTTATCTACTCAACGGTTTTATTAAGAACCTAGCCATTAAGAAACCTTCTAAGTTACGATGGTGCGTCTCAAAGATGAATACGATTGTCTCTATTAAGACTTTAATGATTACTATGTGTAAAATAAGAAACTCGATAATTAAGTTCTGTAATTGTACAACCATATGGAAATAATTAAAACCCTTCTCAAACCTAAGAAACCAGTCATGGCCAGAAAAGAATCTGCCATTCTTTTTGATGAAGTTTAATAGGAAGTCTAGATTCCAAAAACCCCAGCAAAGAATGAAGAAACCCCTCAATAATCCTAGATAATAGAGATCCCACCTCAATAACTTCATTTAACACCCAAAATCGCTTAGGAGTTATCTCCTAAAGAAAGTGTTTTTACACCTCTTACATCCATATAACTTAATGAAGATCAACCTCCTAGCGATCTTGAGAAAGTGGAAACTAATAATAATTCTCCTAGTAGTCCCAAAAAGAAACGTATTAAAAATAAAAGAAGTCCACAAAAATCTTAATAATCTATCCTTTTATAACCATCTGTAAGGGAGCTCTCTTAATTAGAACTCAATCCTATATCTTCATTATAGTAATAAATGAGTTCAAGATCTAAAACTCTATTGGAAGAACTCCCTTTGAAATCTGTAAGAAGCACTAAGAGTGAACAGTTGCCAGAAATGGAAAAACTTGAAGAAACTCCATAATTTGAAAAGGTTCCATTTAAAAGATAAAACAGTAATTTAGGATCACTCAACAAAAAAAGAAGCACAATCCTCGAAAATAAATAGGGTAGAAGATCATAAAAGGGTGCAACAGCTATCTCAGAATAGGACGACAGTTAATCTGATGAAGGTGAAGATGAAAATCAATTAGAAGAAAAAGTGATTGAAATAAAAGAAGAAGAAACACATGAGGAAATTTAAACTATCAATTATCACTACAACAATCTTTTAGACAAATTAATTGAAATTGAAAATATCTATAGATATCCATTCTATCAGACATGGGAATACCATGCGGATCAAATAATTCAAGGCTCTATTTTTGGTGTATTTGATTTGTGATTGAATATGTATTTATCATTTTTTAATCTTTTTCTATACATTTTTCTCATACTCCTGATGATCAGTTTATCTTTACTTTTTCTTTGATTTTCTCTTAATTTCACCATATTTTACTTCATATTCCTTTTTTTTTACTTCATACTCTTTTTGTAGTACCTCAGTTCTTTTTTAATATTCTTTCTTTCTCTATTCATCTAATTCTGCCCACATTCGTCTATGTAATTGATAAGTAGTTCATTACGCTGCAATTTGTGTAATCTCTGATATCTTTGATCCAGGATTATTTTTCATAATTTCATGTCTCTCATCTCCTAAAAACAGGAAATAAGCAGTCAAAGGCTTCTTCGGTGGAGCTTCCTCATGTTTAAATAAGAATTTACTTAAAATATATGATTTTGAAGTGACATTTATTTTGGTTAAATCAATTAAGTTGAATTTTAATTAAAGAGTAGAATGTGTTTTATAATTTGATTAGTAATTCAAAATATTAGGAATAATTAATTTTATAATAACATATCAAGAGACAAATCTTCTTGATTTGTTGAAGTTATTTAGAATTTTATCTATTTTAGAATTTGAACTAAGCTTTTATATCTATTATGTAGTCTTATTATGTTAAAATTGAAGTTCTCGTAGAATTTCTTTTTATTACTAAATTTATTATTATAAATGCAATTAATGTTTCTAGAGATTTTCAAGGGTATTTTTGGTTTAATTCCAATTATTCCGAGATTCAGTTGTATTTGATCTTTGAGTGTAACTGCTCTTTCTCATGGCGGAATTAGGCTTGCTATTACTACAAGAGAGATCCATTGATGGTTATTCCTAGAAGTCAAGTCCACTTTCTTGGGTTTTCATTCTGGATTCAATGTTATCTGAATCATCAAGATAATTAGCGATTTATTCTTCATTAATTTGGATTTCGTATTTTTTAATAATGAACTAAATAAGAGCAGCCAAATATTATGAATATTGATTATCTCCTGAACATAAATTGTCCATTGCAATTTCGATATTTTTAGGATGCATCTTTTAAATGTTGACTCTATAATTTTGAACTAATCTAATTAACTTTAATGGTTTTTCTAATAAAGCCCATACTTTATATTAATTCCATTTCTAACAATATAATATAATTGACAAATACATTGATATTGACAATCCAAGGTTCACATCCTTCAAATAGTTGTAACAATTTTCTAAAATTTATCCAGATATCAGATGATTGTCTCAATTTATAATTTGCAAGAGATGTCAAAAGAGGCACTCTAAATTTATCAATCAATTCTGTCATAATTTAACTATATATAATAATTTATCATTTGATAATTATTGCTATTCTAATAAATGCATTCAATCTAAAGCATCAAAATATTTATTCATTTACATCCCATCAATAATAATTTTTGTTTTTGTATGTATGCAATTGAATTCTTTGATATCCATATCTTGACAATCTCATTCTGAAGATTTAAATCTCTCTAACATTTATCATTATTATTACTGAATGAAATCCAGTTGGATTAGAGATTCAGTTTTGTATGTGTATATTTTCATTTTAATAGCTTTTCATCTATGTTGAGACTACAGACTTAGAAAATACTAATAACAATATAATATTATAATATTGATGAAGAGATCCATAAGTAATAATTGATAAAAATATAAAGATTATTAAAATAGTTAGAATGAAAGACAAAGTTTTTCAAGAAATGAATTTAACATCTTTGGAAAAGTTATGTTTCTGTATTTCTACATCAATTGGATTTCTTGCTGAAGAAACATCTTCTTGATCTCCGAAGTCAAGACTAATTTATTATACTTTAATTATTAAATCTATTGTACATTAATCAGTATTGAATTTTTTATTGAATTCACGACTGAACCCATTACTTAGTTCCTTTTAACTATGTTTTGCATGACTAATCTTTTTTTCTAAGAAGTCAAGTATTTTTCCAGATCTATATTTCCCTGGACTGGGACTTAAACTTGATTTCTTGATTAAATTATTCAAATACTAATTTTAGCATAGCTGGACTCATGTTCTCATTTATTGATATATTAATAGAGCCCTTATCTTCCAATTCTGGTTAGTCAGGCGTTGGGTTCTTGATTTCGTCTTTCTTTATCGATTTCTCTTATTACTAGATTGCAGACAGTTACTCCATCATTCTGAATCCATCTGGAGATGTCTAAATAAATGTTGATTTTTCTCGTATTTCTCCATAAACTCGCCATCCAAAATACATCAATAATAAAAAAAGAATCGAATTTACAAACAATACTGCCATTATAGCAGCCTAATAAATAGTATAGAATTCCATTGAACTTTTGACTTTAACAGCAGTATAGGATTCAAACCCCACAGAACTTAGAATCTTAATCAGAGATATTAATATGCCTCTTTTGACTAATCTTATTATAATATTTTGCTTGTACTTGATTTATTCTTAATCCAAACACATCTACAAAAGTTTATAATGATTAGCACTCGTCTAACAATGGTGGCAAAATTAACAAATTATGAATTGCTTGCAACTACTACAATCATATTCTATAATCAAAAGTCCTTATATTTCAATTTTAGTACTTCGAAAATGCCTCAGATATCGTAATAGCAAAACAATCAATAAAAACAATACACTCAGTAATCCAATGTACTAAATAGTGAGAGATCATACTTCATAAAATCGTATTATAGCCAAATAAATGCTCTCAAAGACTATTATTATGCACTCCCCAACAATAATATATGCAATTATTCTACATATTACTATTTACAATTATCTAAAATCTTTTTGAATAGTTATTTTACTCTTCCAAATTTACCTACTCTTTTTTTACATTTTAATATTATAATCCAAAATAATACGAAAATTATTTATTATACTTTTATTAATTGCTTTAATATCCAAAATATCCTTCTTTAAATGAATCAGGCTTTCATTAGAATGATTAAATATTTACAAAGTTGTTCATCTTCTGTAATCCTGTAAGAACTCATTCCTTCAAAGTTTACAGCCTTTCAAAATATCTACCATAACAGCAAACTTTTCTAAATTCTTGATTTAATGGTACGCGTTCTGATTAAAGAAAATAAAGCCTTTTTTTAATTAAGGTCAAAATAAATCAAGGCACACTCAATAGAAAACTAAATTTTGATTTTAGAACCTAAATAGATTGAATTCATAATTTCGATTAAGATATAATTATACAATTTAGTATATTTAATATTAGATATGTTCAATCATAAATTTATTTCGGCTTCTACACATCAACAATATAATTAAAGGCTATTCTGATCACTTTCTACTCGTATAATTTGATCACTATAAAAATTATTTAATTTTATATTGAAGTTCAATTCAAAAATAAATTTATTGTAAAATTATATTGTTGTTAAAACTAGCTTGATTCAAATGGCATAATTTAATATTATGAAGTAAAAAGGAGAATGAAATATAAATTCAAGCATCATCTAACCATTTGATTCTTTTTCCATCTTCCCAAAGTCCATCCTTGATTGTTCCATCATTAAGATAATATTTAGCATTTCCATGCTATTTACCATTCTTCCAACCTCCTTCATATCTTCTACCATCAGCCCAGTAATATATACCAAACCCATGTTTCTTATCATTAAGATAGGATCCTTCATACTTTCTACCATCCTGCCATTAATAGACTCCTTTTCCATTCATATTGTTATCCAACCATTCTCCTATATATCCTCTTCCATCTGCCCATTTGTAAGTACCAAACCCATTTATTTTATTGTCCTTCCATTCTCCATCATAATAGGAGCCATCAGCCCAATCGTACCTCCCTTTCCCATGCTTCTTCCCATCTATATAATCTCCACAATATTTTGATTTATCCTACCCTAACATAAATAACTGCAATTTTACAGGTTTCGGTTCCTCTTCCATGTTACAAGTCATCCTTCCATTCACCTTCGTACATAGCTCCATTTGAATGTTTATACACTCCCCAACCATTAGCTTTATCATCTTTCCATTCTCCTTCGAAAACATCACCGTCAGCGTGATAAAACTTACCCTGTCCACATGCTTTGTTATCAACCCATTACCCCTCATATTTGGCACCATCAGGCCATTTTTGTATTCCAAATCCATCTCTTTTTTTGTCTTTCCATTCCCCATCATAGATCGCCCCTGATTAAAACCTATGTTTTATTATTGTATACTTATATGGTGGATTCTTTACTCGATTCGGATCAGGTGGGGGTTGTGCATTTGCTATTTCTTCTTTAAAATACTACTATTTCATATTGGCACCAGCTTTTTCTTTCTTTTTTTCTTTCTGCTTTTTATGCTTTTTCCAGTTTCTTTGAATTTTGATTGCAGCATCTCCTTATGAGATTTTTTTTTGTTTCTTAATGCTATGGTCTGTCTTCTCAACTTGTTTTTGTTCTGGTTAATGATCTGATTTCTCAGTTTTCTCTGACTTATCTTACTTTTCAACTTTTTTCTTTGGTTTCTTTTTAATGTTGATTTCCTAAATGGATTCAGGGGTATGGTGCTACCATTAGCAGCCATTACATGTTTAACCCATTATTATTAATAAAAATTAGTTATCTAAAAATATAATATGAGTTGAGACAGCACAAAATTAAATATATATATATAATTCAATAAGCATCAATAAAATTTACTAAATTTTTCATTTAGAAATTGAATTTAAAAGTCATAAACTCTAAAGAAATTGATTTAAAATAGCCTTTGATATAAAAGAATTATGAATCATATTAAAATAATAAATGATCAATTAAACAAGCAATCAAAAATAAAATTAAAAGATAAAATTAATGAACCTGAGATACAATAAATTGATTAACCAAATATACATTAATTAATTGTGTTAGCTGGAGATATCAAAGAATTTTATAATGTGAGCATTCAAAAAAGGAAATAATTTGAATGCCTATATGAAATTAGAAATATTTATTGCCAAAATTGTACAGAATTTGGATATTAATCTAAGGACATTCTCGCTGCCTTAATGGTCAATAAAGTCACATGCGAACCATTTTATATTCTTGAATTTTTGTTTACCTTTTATTTAGATAGAATTTAGTATAATCTAGATGGAAAACATGGAATTTTTGAATAATTTGAATTTATGATAAATTTATAAATATGTAGTTTTTCATTTTTTATATGAGGTTTTACTAGGTTAATTACTAGAAAGTTTAAATGGTTGACAACTCGTTCTTTCTTAGTGTCTGTTGTAATCATATTACTCATGTTTTTTGAAAAGCTTTTGTTCAACTAATTATTATTGGTCCTTTTTCTTATTGGTCATATCCACTTTATGCATAAAGGATTCTAAACCATAAACTTCAATTTGTCTGGTATTATCTATTACTTTTTTATTTATCTATGGTTTAAATGTACACTACTTCAATTGCTCATCTTCTTACTACCTTAGTCTAGTACAATTATTACTTTCTTAATTGCGATCTTCTTTATTCTCTGTTGGTTTAATATTACTTAATCTTTTCATGACAATCATCAAAACTATATTAGGAATGCATTTATGAATATTTCATGGATGTTGACACACTTGGGTAGAATGAGCACTCCTTATCTGAGTCATCATATTTCTATAAAATAATTTAATTAATTTACTTCTTTTAATAACTATTTTCTATACTCTCCATATTCATTTTTTATCAAATCTTAGAGAGTTCTATCCACTGCCATTTCCATTGACTTTGGATTTAATTCTGGGTTGAAATTTAATTTGTTTATTTCTTCTTACTTTCTTTCTTCAATATCTGATTGTCTTGTCTAGTATTCACTATAGAGTCTATCAAATAAAGAATCTTAAGAGATCTTACGATTGGCTATCAATTCACTTTGCTTATTTAGTTTTGGTCTGAATGAATAATCTTAATATGCCTTGCTTTCTAATTCCAAATTCTTTTCAAGTAGCTTCCTGTTGAATTCTTCTTGTCTTTAATTAAAATCTCCTTTGACTATTTGATCATTAATTTTTTAATTAGTTTATGGTTGAAAATCATAAGGCAGATCATCCTAGTAAACTATGTTTTATTTTCGTATGCCATCTTATATTAATCTATCAACAACATTCAAACCATCTACTCTATTTTTTTCAGCTAAAATTTAAGATTATAAATTTATTCTAGGTTTGAATAAGTCTTCCTCTTCCCTAAGTTATTTCGCCGTTAAATAATCAAGTAAAGCCTTTTTATCTTGCATAACTTATTAGTATCTTTCATACAGAGGAGGTTGATCACTATAAGGTCGAGGAGCTTTATTTAAAGGCTGCTCCTCCTCTTACTAATTTATCATCAATTTTAATTCATCAATATGGGCCTGTCTTTCCTATTCTAATAATTACAGTCTTTCATATATGGGAATTCCTTCAAATTTAGTATATTTAATTTAGGCAAGCAAATTAGTTTAATCACTCAATTCTGGTCTAAATGATAACTCAGCCAACTAAAATAATTTATATATATACCATTTTTTTCTCTTATTCTAATTTCTAATTCTCCCTTTCTTCTTATACAATAGTTTTTGGTTCTGCTAATTTATCAAAATATGTCGGTTTCTTAGCCTCTTTATTTTTGAATAGATTCTGTTTCATCACTTACAATTTCTCCTATTAGATTTTTAGTATATCAGGTGTTTATCTGCTAAATTAACTATTTTTGCTTTAATCTGTAATTTATGATTATGTCTCCGAGTATTCCTCATTACCTATGCTTGGTGTTTCTATTAACGATTTATCAATGTAGACTGTTTCAACATTCCCATCCTCTATCAATTTCTTCCTTTACTCTCTTTCTTATTTCAATCTAGACATAATTTCCTGCCTCCTATTCTCGTTAATCATATTTAATTTAAATTATATTAAAAACAAATAAGCTTATTATAAAATCTAGTTTTCAATTTTCTCAAATCGAGAATTATCCTATTTTACCAAAATTACTTATCATAGTAAAACAGCCTCAATTAATAGCACTCTAATAGAAATAATTATGATAAAGGAGACAATATTTTTTATAACATGATATGGAAATATTAAGATAGGATATTGGATAAGATTTAATTGTACTTTTACATAACTGAATCTATACAATCTAGCATTTCAGAAATAGTTAAGGGTATTTAATTATTTTTTCTTTTTAATTTCAAACTCTTAAATCAAGTTTTGAATTTAACGTATCTGTTTATAATATTAGGTCCTTAGTATTTTTACTTAATGTATTTAATTTGCAGAGTAAAATTATATATATCACTTAAATCTAGTCATTGGCTATTTTTGAGTTCTTATGACAACCGATCTACCTCTAATTACTCCTCTTGATGGTTTTGACTAAGTCTAGCGTTTTTATTCTTCTTCCAAAGTGCTTTCTCTAAATACCACTAGGCCTAATAACTTTTCATGTTTTTTGAGTTATCTTATAAATCCTTCATTTGGACAGATCACACTTCGTTTAGCTTTAACATGCTAATATGATTTGATATAACTCCATTTAAAGAATCTCATTATAAAATATATTACTATTGCTGCAGAACGAGATACACCAGCAGCACAATGAACTAAAATTGGTCCTCTCTTTAACCATATTGACATAAATTCATAACATTCATCAAAATGCTATGATAAATCATAAGATGGATCATCGATGGCATCAATAACTTTATGTGCTATTCCTTATGCTGGTTCAATATTCAAGTCTTTAGCAACAGTCAATACTGCAACGAGTTGATGTTTCTGTTACCATTTTTTATCCAAAGCTGCATAAAAGTCTCCCAAATATAATGTTCCACTTGTTAGAGTGTTTTCGAGTATGACATTAGCACAAACAACTTTATATTTTTCCATAAAATCAACAAAAGTTCTCATTTATTTATAATATTAAAATATAAATAAAAATGAGCAAATAAATTCAAAAAAAATAATTGCACATCCTCTCCAAATCCAAATTAGCCAGAGTGAAGGAAAGAAACGAGGAAGAGAACATCTTTAAATCTTTCATATAATTGCATATTGATTAAAGAGAGAACTATCACATAGACATTAGTGATTAGCAATTAAAGGACAAAAAAGAATTTTAAAGATTGTGTCAATCCATTAAAAAAAATGATGTGTCTACTCGGTTTCATAAATAACGACAATCTCAGTCTCTTTAATAAAGCCCATAAATAAAGGTTTGGTTCTAAACACCTTTGTTGTAGAAAGCGCATCGAAAATTTTAGAAAACCCCATTCCCAAAATAATGAGTATCAATTTATAGTTTTGTATCATATCAATTGTCAAACCCCACTATTTCAATTTAACAATCTCTTCTCGTCTTCATTTTCCTTTAATTCATTCCTAAAATAGTTTTGCTTTTGAAAACAGCGTCCATTCAAATGATTATTAGTTGCGTTAACATATTCAATTCCTTCAATAATTTAGGAATTGATGCATATTCGCGTTATTATATAATTTCTACCTCAATAAAAATCCTCTTACTAATACATTTTATATAATTATATGATTATTATTATTATTCATACAATATTCAAATTATTTATTTTTATCCTCTTATATCACATGTAAACACTCTTAAATATTATAGGTAATCTATAACACTAGCCAACAAGAAGGGATCTTTAACCTATAAAATTTATTGAAATAATACTCCATCTAACTACATGTTTGTGTCTGGAAACATTTTTTCAGGATTCTCTAGGAATTCCCAAAGCTTTTTTCTAGTCCAATAGAATTTTTAGGCTGTCAAATCTTTACCATAATTTGAAAACTTCTTAGATCCATTTCTTCTTAAATAAACTGTTCTCAAGGATGGTCCTAAATACAAGTCTTAGTCTCTTTATTAATACAAGAGTACATACAAATCATGACAACCAGCACAATTGTGATTAAAGAATGTTCGACCTTTTGTTAAGTCCCCATTAGGAATCTCTATTTCAATTTCATTCTGGTTTTTCACTTGACCCTTTCTTCTGAATTTTTAACTAGACTAGCCTCGTAATTCATATCCAACATCCCCATCGTACATCTTTCTTGATCTCATTTTATTTACAATGAGAAATTATTATTTCCAAAAATTGTAAATACATATATAAATCTTATTTTATTATAATATTAATATTCTGAACAGTACTATCACTATCTAACCCATTTAATTTAACTAAAAACAAAACTTATGGTCTATTCAAATGAATTATTATTTCCATTTCTATAATAGAAACTAAATTATGTTATTTATGAATTCTCTTAACATTTATTCTACTTCATTCGATTGCAATCCAACTGTTATTCCTTTATTTAAGTGAATTCAATGTATTGAAATCTTCTCTCCCCAAATTCTCCATTAGTTGATCTGATAATCTAATATCAAATAAACAGGGAAACCAAGCAAAGGAATTTCATTTGCTATTAAAATTATATCGTGTTCTTAGAGAAATTTAAACTATATATCAGTAGATATTATAAAGAAACAGGATTGATCAATAAATATGTTTTATGTAGAATTGATAATTATTATTACAATTAATGAAATAAGACAATAGTTAAGAGAAGGAGGCAGATAAGAAGTTTAAGAAAGGCAAAGAAGCGTATGTCTCATAATTTAAATTGTTTTAGTTTAACAACTGGTGTGTTTTAGTGGAAAAAGGATTATAATTTGGGCGCGATGTAATTTGAGGAGGCTGCTAAGTTGTATAAGGAATGCAAGAATTCTTAGAAGGAAAAAGAAGCACTGAAGTTAGCTATTGAATGCAATGAGAAATTAAATGATACTTGGGCAGTGGGTAGAAACTATGAAGCCCTTCTTAATTCTCTTATTGATAATTCCAGCAATGATTACAAAGAACTTATGGAATGGTCATAGAAGGCTGGAATTTATTTCAAGGTTTCAGATTCAGGTATGAAATCAATCTAAGTACTGAATAAAGTGGCCAAGTAAAATTGATAGCTTTTCTTCAGGTATTTAATTAAAAGACAACAATATGAAATGGCAGAGAAGGTAATTTTGGAAGCCTTGGCTGAAGCAGAGGATCAATAGGCTCCATCCACTAGAACTGACATCATAAGCTCTTATGTGGAGATTTTGATTGAGACTCAACAATACCACAAAGTGGCTGATTTATATATGAAGGAGATTACGAAGTTCAGAGAAGAACATATGAAATATCCACTCAGCCAATACGCTTTGATTGTTATTGTGATGTACATCTTGCAAGATGAGATCATTAGAGCCAATCAAGAATTAGAGCAATTAATAATTTAGTATGAATAGACCATTAATAATAAATAGAGTGTACAATTTCCATAAATCCTCAGAGTTTCGAGTAGTTGATTAGATATTGAATTCCTATGAGAAAGGAGATTAGAATTAATTTAATGAGGCAATTACCAAATCCTGCGTGACATCTATATATCCTCCAAATGTAATTATAGAACTTAATCAATTAGATTGTACGAGCCCTAAGAAAAGTTAAAGTCAGAGTGATCAACATTCATCAAAAATAAAATATTTAACAGCAAGAACTTGATTAAGGACATGAAGAAGTAGACTACGAATAGGAATTAGCAAAAAAGATCCTTTGATTATGATTATTAAATCAAAATACACAATTTTATTCTCTTAGAAGAGAACATGAATAGAATAATCAGTCTTTATAAAATATAATATTAAATGTATTTAGTAAGATTGACAACTAATGCATACACAACACGAAATATACCATTGAGATCTCCTGAAAAAACCTCTTCCATTATTATTTAACTCCGCAATTATATCCTTTTAGGCCCTTAGGATAACATAAAAATAGTGAAATTTACTAAAAGCATTTGAAGGTAGAAATTAATTTCTAAACTTAAGCAACATTCAACATTGGTGATATTATTGAAGGCAAAGTAGATTTTTATTAAAATGAAGATGTCATTGCTCATAAAATTCGATATTTAAGATGAAAATATTATGATTTCTTTACTGAATTAAATTTTATTAACATTTTTTTTACTATTGAGATATCTTTTTCTTTATTAGACAATCTCAAAATATTAAAACTAATTGTAATTATATCTCAATTTAAAATCATTAAGAAGAGAAGTATTGCTTTCCAAATTTCTAAATAGTGGGAATACAACTTAGATAAATCATTAGACCAGAATCTTAAATATCTTGTTTGCTTGTATTCTGTAGTCACCAAAAAAATTCGATGCTGAGGAGATAGTTACCAATTATGGTTTACTTAAAAATCATAGTCATCCTCAACAGCCTTAAAGAGTTGTAGGCAACATTACTTGATGAAATCTGCAAATTAAAATGAAAAATATATATGGTTTTATGGAAGTTGCAAATTGTAATGCGAATATAAAACATATTCTTCACTATTCAAATTAGCATTTTCTAATCAGCAAAGACCTTAAACTTACTATCTGACTTTATTTGATTCCTTAACGTTAATATCCACTAAAAATTTATAAATTAAGAGGCCTTTGATATACTAGTTAAAAATCCATGCCTTATACTCAATTATTTTTAAAATTTTATATATGATTTATCGAAGATGATATAAATTGGTTGTTTTTCTCAATTTGAAAAATTACATTTAATGGTAGCACAAAAATTTGAAGAGAATGTTTCTTCCAAACCAAATCGAAGCCTTCTGCCAATGAATTCTCTGGAGAGTGATTGTCTGCAAAATTATTTTTGTGTCTGGTTTATAGTTCATTTCTATATGTGATTATCCTTTCAGTTTGAAAATCATTGAAATTCATGGCCAAAAATAAATTGAAATTATTATTTATATATTACATTTGACATAATCAAAATGTTGATACTTAATTTATTATATAGCTTCATATGTTGAAAATTAATGTCATTCATCTGATTTCGTTTTGTTAATCAACTTAGTTAATGGTTGAATGATAGTGTTATTTTCATTATTTGTCGATAAAATCTATTATGGTCTCAACAATTTTAAAGAGAAATGTCCAGGGAATAGCTATGAACGATTTGAAGAAATATGAAAAACTAAAGCAAATATAAATCTAAATTACATCTTTCTCTCTCAATTCTACTATGATATTTAATAATTCCGAAAAGATATATCTTTATTTTTTTATATCTCTCCATCACGATCTTTCTCCTCTAACCTTTATTTACAAGCCAACTGTCCAATAATCGGCGAAACCTCAATTTTGATTTCAGTTTGTCTCTAATGAAATCCTTGATCTTGTCTATTAACTCCTCCATAGATTATAAATATCCATGCATTAAACTTTAAATAAAAGTAATTAATAAATAGATATTTGTTATAATTATAGATAATATAGCAATAGTAGAAAACTTGCGTGTTATTGATAATGAAAGGACTGCAAACAATGTAAAAGTGCATAACAACGTACTCTTTTATTCTAATTAATTTAGATTTTTTGTTTTAAAAGGTAAAACCATTTAATTTGTCAAAAAATAGGAAAGTTAAATAATAAATAAAAGCGTGCATTTAATTACAATATTGTCTTGGTAAAATGTAATGGTAATCATTATCAACTCCCTACTGACAATCCTAATTATTTCCCAGTAATAGGCTTTATGCTAGTATTCTAAATACAAGTATCCCCATTATTTTCTAATATCATATTTTTAAAGCGAATTTCTATTTTTTGTTAAGTATAATATAAATATTCCTGGTACTATAGCTCCAATCATGATTATAAGAACAATAAGATAAGGAATCCATTATTGATGAAGAGATGTTTCAAATTAATAAGCCAAATCACCTTGGATCCATTTTATGCCTGATAATGTCCTAAATGATAATGAAGATATCAATAATTAGATCACCTATATTTAGAAATAGCAAAACAAATATAAGACACAAGTTGTTGGCACTACTTCATTATAAACTATCTTCTTTAAACCTTTCAATAAGAAGTATACAGATAAGTATATCCATCCATAAAACAGTGGACAAATGATACTATAGATGATTTTCACATAAATGATTCCCTCTTAAAAATACTAAGCTAAAAAGCAATCTGTCGTTAATAGTAACATAGTTTAAGAATTCCCAGTAATATTATAATAATCCTTAAATGCTTATGGAATTTCTACATTAAAATTTATAATAATAGCCAATATTTGTAAATAATTTGTAAACATTTTCATTATTGGACCAGTTTGTTTATTATTGTTAATTATTAATTATCTTGTTCCTACTTTATTTTTCTATAATTCTAATATGAGTTTCTCAACTCCATTTGCTGATAAATAGATTGAAAGTAAATTCCTAAAATTATTGTAATATAAAATACCATAAAGTTATCAATATAATATAAATAATTTATTTATCCAAGTTCTCACACTTTTAACATTAATATAATTTCTTAAGACTATATTAGCCATTTCCTCTGCTATTGTATTAATCACAAGCTTCACAACTAGCTCCTAATTAGCCAATTTCACAAGTCTCATCTCCTTATTTCCACCCACCTAAACAGTTCTCTATTCTATTTTAACAATATTCAATAATTTCACTATTTATATAGGGTCTCCAATATCCAGCTTTTAATTAAAGTTAAGCAGGTGTTATTGATGCTGTTGTATCTTCATCCTTAAATTAACAAGTTGTTGCATTTATAGTTACTGAATATTACTTTTTGTTAATGTCACATAAATAGCAAGCATTATCAGTTAGATTCTTATATTCTCCTAATTGACATGGATATGTTTGAATCTATAAAATTAATTTATATTTAGAATTATAATCCCTTATCTAATAAGGATAGGAGTCTTCATAAATGGGGATTTAAACACTATTACAACTAATTTATAAGATTAGTTTAGATTAATCATTCTCAGTCCCGTAATAAATAATTAAATCATCAAAATTATAATCTTGTGTCTCTTAATCAAACGTTTTTCTATTGTAATTTGTATAATTATTTGTAAAAACGATTTCTTAGGAACCATACTGATATCCACTTTCAATTAAACATTCACTATTATTAAGATGAAATTGTTATTCATTGTAAGCATTTAAAGCTAAGACTCTCAATTTTAAATGCCAATGTTAGTATTCTTATTGATTTATATCAAAATATTGATACGTCTAAATTTATTAACCACTCGGCAATTTTAAGATCAATAATTATGAGGAATTTAATTAATTAGTTAAGTAAGCGTTAATCTACCCATTATTTTAAGTGTTTAACGTTGAAAATTACATATTTTTATATATTATTGTAAGTTAAGTTGAGTGAGATGAACTAATATTACCATATCCATATGCAGTATTATTATTGAAATAGTTGAATGTTTTATTTAATTCAGGTAAACTTTGGTTTCCGAGATATATGGCACCTCCTTCTTATGCTGTATTTGATACTATAAGGTTATTCTGAAGCATTAGATTAGTAGTGTCTCCATCATATTAAATGGTTCCTCCTTATTCAACTGCTAGATTTTCACTTAAAATACTATTTATTATCTTTAGACCAACTTATTTGCTAACTATACAGACTCCTTTAGTTGCTTAATTTCTATAACAGAATATAGTGTCTAATGTTAACTGAGACAGTTTCTTTTGATCTTAACTTTGAAATTCTTACACAACGCATAAACATCCATTTTCACCACATTAATTATCAGTTAACCATATATTTGACAAAATAACATTTTCTGATTACAACTCAATTAATTTAATAAGAATAAGTCCTGATTAACAAATTTGGCACTTATTATTTGAAAATTAGCTTGATTTTATTGATATTGAATCTCTATTTTTTACATTTGTTATTTACACTAAACTTTCAATCTAATTTTCGGGTTCATCTATAAAATTTGATAAATTTATTAATTCATAAGTTGAGTTTGTTAATTATAATGTTTGTTAATTTTGACAGTCTTTTGACAATTTTTCCTAATTACTAATTACTTAATTAATCTAGATTGTTTATAATCTTGGGTCATCTTTGTACCATTAAAAGTTTTTCATTTTGAGACCAATAATTTCTATTTTACATTGTTAGTCTATAAATATAATATTTTTATAATACCTGCTGAAAAGCTAATTTAAATTATAGAATTCTGGTA